CACGGGCCCCAGGAAGATCACAGGTACCTGAGCAAGATTACACGGGCTCCAGGAAGATCACAGGTACCTGAGCAAGATTACACGGGCTCCAGGAAGATCACAGGTACCTGAGCAAGATTACACGGGCTCCAGGAAGATCACAGATACGTGAGCAAGATTACACGGGCCCCAGGAAGATCACAGGTACCTGAGCAAGATTACACGGGCTCCAGGAAGATCACAGGTACCTGAGCAAGATTACACGGGCTCCAGGAAGATCACAGATACGTGAGCAAGATTACACAGGCCCCAGGAAGATCACAGATACGTGAGCAAGATTACACGGGCCCCAGGAAGATCACAGGTACCTGAGCAAGATTACACGGGCCCCAGGAAGATCACAGGTACCTGAGCAAGATTACACGGGCTCCAGGAAGATCACAGATACGTGAGCAAGATTACACGGGCCCCAGGAAGATCACGGTACTGAGCAAGATTACACGGCCAGGAGACCAGTACCTGAGCAAGATTACACGGGCCCCAGGAAGATCACATGTACCTGAGCAAGATTACACGGGCCCTAGGAAGATCACAGGTACCTGAGCAAGATTACACTGGCCCCAGGAAGATCACAGGTACCTGAGCAAGATTACACGGGCCCCAGGAAGATCACAGGTACCTGAGCAAGATTACACGGGCCCCAGGAAGATCACAGATACGTGAGCAAGATTACACGGGCCCCAGGAAGATCACAGGTACCTGAGCAAGATTACACGGGCCCCAGGAAGATCACAGGTACCTGAGCAAGATTTAAGAAGGACTGAGCAACACTACAAATATCTCTCACATAACCCACATAACCCTGTCTGCACACTTACATTCACGATATTATGAAGTCTCAGCTGCTTAATTACCATCATTGCATGTTAAACCAAGCCACAAAATGCTGGTTAAGGACCAGGAAATGTGTGGCAGATGTGAACTGCGTAGTGTGTCGTGATATACTGTGGTGTGTGTGTGTGTGTGTGTGTGTGTGTGTTGTGTGTGTGTGTGTGTGTGTGTGTGTGTGTGTGTGTGTTTGAATGTGTGTGTGTGTGTGTGATTCAAAGACTAACCCAAAAGGGTTCTTTCAGGTATACAGAAGTAAGATTAGGGACAAGATTGGCACACTTAAGAGTAACTCTGGTCAGATCACTGACAGTGATAGGGATATGTGAGAAATTCTCAATACTTACTTCCTCTCAGTTTTCACCCAGGAAAATACTAGCGATATTCCTGAAATAATAGATTATGTAGAACAGGATGATGACACACTATGCACAATTGCAGTAACTAGTGACATGGTCCTCGGACAAATAGAGAAACTAAAACCTAACAAATCCCCAGGTCCTGATGAACTGTTTGCAAGGGTGTTAAAGGAATGTAAAGAGGAACTTAGCATACCTTTGGCTAATCTTTTTAACATATCACTACAAACTGGCATAGTGCCTGATAAGTGGAAAATGGCAAATGTGATACCTATTTACAAGGCAGGTGACAGATCCTTGGCTTCGAACTCTAGATCAATAAGCCTTACCTCCATAGTGGGAAAATTTATGGAATCAGTAATTGCCGAAGCAGTTCGTAGCCATCTTGATAGGCACAGATTGATTAATGAATCTGAACATGGTTTTACAAAGGGTCGTTCCTGTCTTACGAATTTACTAACTTTTTTCACTAAGGTGTTTGAGGAGGTAGATCATGGTAATGAATATGATATTTTGTATATGGACTTCAGTAAGGCTTTCGATCGAGTTCCACACCAGAGACTATTGAGGAAACTTAAGGCTCTATTATTTGCTGGTTTAAATTGAATTTTGTGCAGAGATTTAAAAGCTCGTGTGTGTGTGAGTTCTCGTCAGAGCTGCCTCCTGGTGTTATTACTGCAACAATATTATTTGCTATATTCCTCCATTTTAGGTGCCTTAAGTTGAAATCCCCCAGGAGCAAGATGCTGGGGGCAGGAGCTGGAAGATTTTCCAGACAGTGGTCAATTTTTAACAACTGTTCCTGGAATTGCTGGGATGTTGCATCCGGAGGCTTGTAGACTACCACAATGACTAGGTTTTGGTTCTCGACCTTTACTGCTAAAACTTCCACTACATCATTTGAGGCATTAAGCAGTTCTGTGCAAACAAGTGACTCTGCAATGTACAGGCCAACCTTCCCCCCCCTTTTGCCTGTTCACTCTGTCACAGTATACATACACTTCGAGACAAGCACCTGTCAGTATACATACACTGCGAGACAAGCATCTGTCAGTATACATACACTGTGAGACAAACACCTGTCGGTTTACATACACTGAGACGAGCACCTGTCTGTACATACACTGAGACAAGCACCTGTCAGTGTACATGCACTGTGAGACAAGCACCTGTCAGTGTGCATACACTGCGAGACAAGCACCTGTCAGTGTACATACACTGAGACAAGCACCTGTCAGTGTACATACACTGCGAGACAAGCACCTGTCAGTGTA